GCCCAAATATCTTCAAATTGATCATCTCGCCATCAAGATGCATGGACATGAGAAAAAAAATGAATTTCAAATTTTGGAAAAAGTTTATTTTGTAGCGTATTTTTAGACAGTCAATTTAAGTTTTTATAGATATGCCGATCTGCACTATTTTTGAAGCTTTAAACTTTATAAACAAATATACAAAATATATTTTAAGTCTATCACAAAGATTTTCGATATTGAAACCATATTTCTCGACACTATTTGAAGGTAGGCTCTAGTTTGATTGTTTAGAGCCCAGGCTCTAGACAAACCGCACCCTTTATTAAAATATAGGTCACTTTTGAGCTATTTAGTATTTTATCCTTTTTGTTTTTGTTTTTTTTTCTACCATTCCAACTCAAAATCATTTGGTAGATATTTTGAACTTAAAATAAAACATAGATAAAATGTTAAAGGAAAAAGTTTATATAAGGTTGCAACCTTAAAATGTAGAACTACGGATGCACCTAAAAAATCTATAAAAAAAAGTTGTTTTAATATTGAAAAACCACCCTGTGATTGATCATCTCGACATCGAAATGTATGACTATGAAAAATAAAAAGATTTTGAGTCTCATAAATAGTGCATCTTAACATATTATCTACACCGTCCATTTTCAAGATTTTCATATGTTTATAGATCTACTTTAACTTTAATTATTTTTGAAATTTAAAATTTTATAATTAGATATAAAAATAGATTTTGAGATAATCTTAAAAATAATTTAAATCAAAATTATATGTTATGATAAAATTTGAAGGTATACCTTAATTGGATTGTTTAAAGTTACAACCTTATGGAAACCACCTTAGGTACATTTGGATAAGTACATATGGGACGTGTTTGATAAGTAGAAGATACTTACCATGGTTGTTCTTGTAGCAGGTTCATGCTTTGATAAAAACAAGTAGGTTTAAACGGTAACTTACTAAAAACTTACCGGTTACGTCTTCTTAGGCGTAGAAAAAGTTCCGTGTAAAAGGAGGGTATTTTCTTGTCCCCGTCCGCCTACAGTAAGTTACCCGCCCCCGACTGCCCTCGCGAAGAAGGAGGGTATTTGCTTGCCCCCCACTGCCCTAACCACAGAGCAGAGACCATATAGCGCCTTCTCTTTGCGCCTACGAGCCTCACAAAGGTACATCTCACTTTTTCCTCTCTGGTTTTTCTCTCCCCTGATTTTTCTCTCTCGTTTTTTCTCTATCCCATGGTTTTTTTGTTTTTTTTGCTCTCTCTGATTTTTTCTCTAGGTTTCAAAGTGAAAGTGGATCTAGGGTTTTCTCTGAATATTGTTTTGTGGTAAATTGTTCTCTGCAGGGAAAAAACAATTTGGCTGTTTTTTTTGTTACAGTTCTCTGTAGAAACCTTGCCCCTCATCCCTCCCTTCAAGCCTTTCTTTCTCCACTCCAGCTAAATTTCACAGTTCTCTCATTTTCCAATTCTTCTTTTCACTTCTACTACATAGGTGACAATCATAACCATTTGGTGTGCCCTTTTTTTTTTTTTTTTTTTTTTTTTTTGTGACTGTTATCATCTGAAAATGAGATAATCAATAAGATTGCTTAAATTTGATTCATGGTTCGCTTTATTTTTTCTTCATTGATAGTTCTTTTGTTGGGTGTGAAGAAAAGAAAGAAAAAAAAATTGCAGTATTACTTTCCTTTTTGCCATAGGTTTTAGATTAAGCTTACTTTTTATTTTTCAACATCAAGCATAGGGTTTTATCTGACCATTGAGAATGTAGTTACAGAATCAGCAAACAAAAAAAAAAACAACTTGTTATAGATTGACTGGAATTTTTTTGCAAATAACAACATTTCTCAAGGAAATCAGCGGGAAATTTGTTGAGTATGTTGTGGAATTTTAGTTCAGGAAATGGTTGAGGAATCCAATAGTCAATTTAATTAATCTTGACTATTTGATGTATAGAATAGTTTTTCTAGGCAAAAAAGAACAAATCATTGCCATGAAGTTTGAATGAGAGAAAATTGATTATCTTTGATGATTGAGGTGAATTTTAGTTATGATTGTGATTGGGGTAATTGTGAAATATTTAAAGGCTTATTGCTTCTAAACTTTGTATAACTCTTTCATATGATTGAACTATCCAAAAAAGAATGTCAATGTTGCTCGCCATTATAATGTCAATGCTGCCCGTTATTACACAGTTTATAGTATGTTATCGGTTGGAAACTGGCCCTTCATATAGTTGTATTGAAGTTATTTTCCACACGAATGAATATATCAATAGTAACTTAGCTTTAGATGTTTGATGCTCTCTTTTGGTCTTTCTAATGATGTTTGATAAACACACAATAATAATAATATGGTTATTATGTCTGCGTGTAGACTACAGAGTAAGGCCTGTTATGTAATTGATTAAAGAGTATTTTGTCTGTGTGTGTAGATTACATCGTTTTTTTGTATGTGTTTGTAGACTACAATGTAACGCCTGTTATGTAACTTAGAACTTCCTTATATTCCAGCAGATTATCAAAGACAGAGACCCATAACTTCTTTAATGTTCTAGCAGGTTATCAGAAACCCAGATTTTTTAACATTTCAACAGGTTATCAAACACATAAACCCATAATTTCTTACAATAACTTCTTTCTTCTCAGCAAAGAAGAAACTTCCAATTTCCAGGGAACATTTACCTTCCAGTTGTCAAACACGCCCATAAGGTTAGTCCACCCCATCCCTTTTATTTGGAGGGTTTAGATTTAATATTATTTTAAAAAATATGCTACTTTTTGACATTGTTTTAAAAAACTTGTCAAATCTACACTGTCTAATTAAAATGAAAGTGATAAAATATTAAGACGTTACTTCTACAAATAAGATTGTAGCGTTATATAAACCCCACCTGATGAATGAAACTTAAAGAAATAAGTGGAGTCTGGGACCTCACCAATGGAGTTCCCTCAATTTTTCTTACCCTTTTGTAGCAAAAATAAGTTTGAGAAAGAATTTGTGTTCCGGTATGGTCAAATTGTACATTCGCTCTGGTACATAAAACATCTGAGAGATTTCTTTAGCCAAATCTCTCATCTCATGTTCTCTTTATGTGATATACATGTTTTTTTTGGAACTCTATACAACGTGGAATAATTGAATGCCGCTTTATGAATAAAACTCTTCATGGAACCAATGAGCAGTTACGGTTTAACACTACTTATTGATATATATAAACAGTAGTTTCTTTTGCTGGTTTTGGGCTGCTTTAAGATTAGATGTTCTAAGAAATACTAGAGGAGTTTTATTTTATTTTATTTGATTTTATTTTTTGTGTGAAGCATCAATTGATAATTAGAATTCAGAATTTGTAGCTAAGTGATTGCTATTTCTTGCTATAACTTTCTGCAGGTGTATACCACATATTGTGTAATTTTGGTGGTTTCCACTTAGTTTCTTTGACAATCTTATTTTGCTTAGAACTTACAAACTATTAAGTTGTTCATATATAGCTTAGCAAGCCCAATGGCTAGTAGAATCATAATGGCTGAACTTTCAAGAATAGAAAACCTAAATGGGACCAATTTTGACATGTGGAAAAGTAAAATGGAGTATCTCCTCATCCAAGATAGAATTTTATATGTACTAAAGGAAGATCCACCAGTAGTTGGTGATAAACCAACTGAAGAAGAAAAGAGAAAAAAAAAAGTTTGAAAAATTCTTGGAAGTTGACCTTATTGCTAAAATATCAGTATTAACTTTTATGCAAGATGACCTAATTAAGGCATTCAATTATGAAACATCTAAGAAAATGCTAGATGCAATAAAAGCAAAATATGACAACATATGAAACTCACCTCCAATTGCTATTAGAGCAATGTAACTCATTTAAAATGAAGGAGGTGTTAATGTAGTGGAGCATGTAAACAAAATGTTAATTATGACTAGCCATTGCTGGAACGACATGCAAGTTTCCACAATCTTAAATAGCCTTCCACCTTCATGGAGGATGGTAACAATAGGTTGAATGCCATATCTCTTACATTAGGGGACCTACCTATGCAATTAGCATTAGAGCAAAAACACATGAACAAAGATAAAAAGAGTGAGCTCATGCTTGCTCAAGGAGCTCCCAAATATGGCCAATCCAAGCCTAACAACTAGAAATTTCAAGAAAAATTTAATAAGAAGAACAATAGGTTCAAGAACAAAGGATCCAAGCACTACAACTAAGAGGAGACTAAACAAGGACCACCAAAATGTTTCTTATGTGGTTAGCCAGGTTAAAAAACCGCTGCCCACATAATAAAAATCCGCAAAATCCAAAGCATAGCAGAAATAAGAGCAAGAGGCGTGAAGTTGTTTGTGTGGTCTTAGAGTGCCTACTTGCTGACCACGACATCAAAGGATGGTGGGTAGATTCAGGCGCTAATCGTTATATTGCAAGCTCAAAAATCCTTTTCGAGGACTTCAAAGAAATAAACTCTAGGGAGAAACACACATCTACATGGGGAACAACACCTATTATGATACATTAGGTGTAGGAATATGTGAGTTGTATGTAGGGCCAATTAATCTTGTATTAAATTGATGCATATTTTGTCCAAATGAGGCGAGATATTGTATTTGTCTTCTTGCTCATTAGAAAGGGCTTTGAAGTCCACTTCCGATCATTGAAAGTATCAATTAGAAAGCGTCGACAAATTTATGATTGGGGACGCTTGGTTGATGATCATAACTTGTTTCTTCTTCATGTAAATGAGAAAGTTGATAATAAAATTTCTACTTATTCTGGTTATGTTGGTGCATACACTTGGCATCTTGGGCTTGGCTTAATAGGTTAATAAAGAAATGTCTTATTCCAAACTTAAATAATGTAGAATTTCTAACTTGTTATCACTACTTGCCAGGAAAAATGACTAGGAAATCATATAAGCAACTTAAAAAGGTGGAGGTCAACAACGCATGTTCTAATTCCATATCAGCAAAGAAATAAGTTAGAAAATAAAACTCTATTTTGTAACTTTGTAGGATACCTCGAAGGTTCAAAGGGCTATAGATTTTATCATAAAGACAAGGGGCTCATTGAAAGTAGAGATGCTTAATTCCTAGAAGATTTTAATGAAGACAACCTACCTGCGGTAGATAGCATGATCTACTTAAGATCATATGTGACTTAGAACCAACCACCACCTACAGTGGATATGGATAACCCTGATTAACATGATGATGTTTAATTACCCACACACCCAATGTTAGTGGTCCAAAGAGGTTTTGAGCTCCTCCATCATACCTTGATGATTTCTATGTCTACATGAGTGAGGAGATAGACAACCTTATTGGCCTAAATGAAATCAATGATCCCTTTGACTTCAATGATGCAATGAAGTCACAAGAATCTCAAGAATGACTTAATGCCATGAGAGAAGAATTAGATTCTATTGAGAAAAATAAAGTTTGGGATCTATGTGATTTACCATCATATAGAAAACCTATATGTTCCAAATGGATACTTAAAAGAAGCTAAAATCTGATGGATGAATTGATAAATTTAAAGCTAGGTTAGTAGCAAAGGATTTTACTCAAAGAATAATCCATTAGAATAATTTTGGCAATCGTTGCTTATTTTGACTTAAAACTTTGCCAAATGGATGTAAAGACGACATTCTTGAATGTCAAACTAAAGGAAACCATCTACATGAAGCAACCTGAGGGCTTCATGATTAAGAGCCAAGGAAACAAAATATATAAATGAAACATATCTTTATGTAATTTAGAACAATATTTAAGACGATGGTACTTAACATTTTTTGATGTTATCCTTCACATGGGGTATAAAGTGAATAGACTGGACCATTGTGTATATGTCTTGAAGAGCAGGAGTAAATTCATGATACTCTCATTATATGTAAATGATATCATATTAGCTGGAAATGATTTAGAAATGATTGATAAGATTAAGTCATAGCTTTTTTCTCGGCTTAGGATGAAAAAAGTGGAAGAAACATCGTATGTCTTAAGTATACAAATAACTAAAGATAAAAAATCTAGAATATTATGTTTGAGCCACTTGACTCTGTTCTTAAAAGATTTAAAATGGAAAATTGTAAATCATTGTCTACCCTTGTTGAAAAGTGAATAAAGTTATCTAGGAAGGATTGTTCTGTAGAAAGACAAAAAAACCTAATGTTCCCTAGGCACAAGCTATTGGTAGCTTAATATATGTAGTACGATGTATAAGGCTAGATTTGAGTTATGATGTAGATCTTATAAGTAGATATCACAATAATCCGAGCATTGCCCATTGGAAAGGAACCAAAAGAATTATGCGGTACATTAAGGGAACAAAGCATCTTAAATTATGTTTTCAAGCAGATAAATTTGAAGTTCTAGGATATTCAGATGCATATTTTGCTGGGGATAAGAATGATAGTAAGTCCACCTCAGGGCATGTTTTCCTCTTTGAGGTGCATCTGTTTCTTAGTCTATCAAGAAACAAGGGTGTGTTGCTAGGTACACATAGGAAGTAGAGTAAATTGCATGTACTTATGTCGTCTGGACAAAACGTTTCATAAATGACTTGAAGCTATAAATAATCGACGAACCAATTAAATGTTTTGTGATAATCAAGCTGCAACTAAATTAATACAAAGTGGAGCAAATAGTTCCAAATGAAGACATATAGATGTACAATATCACAATGTTTTAAAAAATGGTCTGCCTGGCGCCTAGGCGACCTGGACCAAAAATCCACCCGCCTAGACCCAGGCGGCCCTACACGGGCGGATGTACCTGGGTGGGCGCCCTGGAGGGCTAGGCGTTTTTCGTTTTTTTTAAATTGCAAGGCAGTTGAGGTTCTGGGCGCTCGCCTAGGCGTTGGGCGCCAGGCAGGCCGCCTAGGAGTTGGGCGCCAGGCAGTCCGCCAAGCATTTTTTGAAACCTTGCAATATCATTACATTTAGGATGTAGTTGAGAAAAATGAAGTAACTGTTAGTTACTTTCCCTCATCAGATATGATCGCTGACCCATTGACAAAGGATTTAAGCGTCAAACTACTTTTTAAGCACACTAGCTTAATGGGACTTAGAAATGTTTAAGTCAGTCACTTTCCATGAGTGACAAATCCGCATTAGTGTGAAAATTCTCATGATAGAAATTATGGACATTTATTATGAGAGGCATATCCGCAAAAACGTGAGAAAAACCTCTTGATAAAATATTGTCTTAAAGGTCACTCAAAAGCTAGAGTGTGCCTATGACTTATTATTATGCTCAACCGTCATGGCCAAGGGGGAGATATTGAAACGTGTGACCATGAGGCCTCACGTTGCCTACTTATTTCTATGGACCTCTATTTTTATGGGTGGAATTCCATGTATATTTATGCTTAACCATTTGTAAAGGGTTTTTTTTAATGTAATATATATAAATAAATATTTTATTTTCTCAAGGATTTCTAACGTTCATGTGGATAAGCATCCTGAGATCTGGGAGTTTGTTTCTCATAGACCCGTTGAGAAAAAGGATGTTGGGCCCCTATAAGTATGGGAAGTCAAAGAGAGGAAAACATAGCAAAAATACAGAGCCTCATGTAAATAGAAAGCTTCTTTTTTCTCTCTAAGGGTTCCTAATTAAAATCCGGGTTCTGCGATTACCAGCCTCACAGCACACCCATCTTAGATCTCGTGTTTGGCAATCACCCTCGCTCCATTAATTTTGCTTTCTATTCTCATATAATGCAATGCCAATACTAAATTTATTTCCATTTACTTATATTTAAACACCGACTCTCCTATTTCAACGACCCCAACTTTTATAAACGAAGATGGGCCAAATTGGATTCTCTCTCTCTCTAACTTGATCCCCCACCCCCACCCCCACCCCCACCCCTACCCCTCTCTCTCTCTCACGTGTGAACTAGTGTTGCAGTTGTGAGCACCGCAAGTCCGCAACCATTTAAATTATAACTCTCTCTCTACTTTTCGGTGCGCAAGTATTCGAAGCCTCTTATTTCTCAAATTTAATCAAGTTATTTCATTATTGGGTACCAAAGCTGTGTTCTTTAAAGTTTTTTGTGGCCTCAAACTCCTAATTGACGAGTTTTGTTCACCCCAATTCTTTCTCATGTCCAGCAAATTGTAAGTTTTTATTTATTTATTTAGTGTATTAATGTGTGCGGTATGAGGTTTTGATTTAATCACCTCTGTCTTTCTCATTGTTCTAAAGGTGATCATGCCTAGACTGTCGAGGGGTTTTGATTTAATCGCCTCTGTTGCATAGGCTGTCGAGGGGCCAAGGCGCTTGGGCATCCACCTACGGGTGCCTAGCCTAGCTCTGGGGCCTTATAAAAATAAGAAACGTATACCATTATGGCTCATTTTAGAAAGATAGAAACTCAAAAAACTAGATTTTTGTGATTTTCATATGATTGAAGGGATCTAGATGCCACCCATTAAGATTAGATTTGGTTTTTGAGATTTCATAGGTCTATTAGAGAGGTTTTTTAGAAGATTTTGAGATTAGAAAACATCTCAGGTGGAAGTTTGGTGATCCAGCAATCAAATTTAGTGAATTTTTTATTTTATTTTGAGATGTATTCTTTGGGATCTAAGTTGCTATTTTGATGATTCGATGTCTTGCTGTCTTGGATTATATTTTTTTATTTTTAGTTTTTACTATGTGTATGGACTATGGAGTTCATGGAGTTTGGATTATGGTATGAACTATGGATATGGTATGGTCTAATACTCTAATGCCTGATGGTTTGAAGTTTGAACTTCAAAGTTTGATTTTTTGAATTTGAAATGTATGGAATTATTGACTAAAATATGTCTCAATATGTATTTTTGTAATTTTTTACACTACTGGGCTGCCTAGGTGGGCGTGATTGGGTGGCTTGACCCCTCGGCCACGAGGCACTGCCCGATGTTTTTTGGAACACTGGTTTTTCTCATTCTCATGGACTTTTTTCTTTTTTTTGACTTGGTTTTGGGATTTTAAGTAAGTTTATGATTCGTGTTTTTGTATTTATCGTTATTGGTTAGTAAAAGAGTGTTTTTGGTGTTTTTGTAGAGGAGCTAGGGGCTTTCCTTATGTGAATGGATTTGATGAATTAATTTTAATGGAAAAAGTTGTTGTTTGTAAATGTTTTTAATGAATAGAAATTTTTGCACTTATTATGTTTGATGAAATACTCAGAAAAAGCTTTTCTTACTGGATCTCATATTTTTTTCTGTTTTATATTTTTTTTCTTATTTGATCTTGTTAATTGCTGGGTAGTATGCCTTAGTTCATATCAACTTTTCTGATCAATAATTGAGTATGCATAATTCTGCACTCTCCATTGATGATCTATATTCATGAGTTTTTTACTAGTTTAGCTTGTATAATAGATTGTTTAATGGTGTTTTGTAGAATGAGCTTTTTCCTTGCACCGTAAAGCTGTGTACTAAGTGTTGGCATGTTCTTCCCTCTCTTTTTTATGGTTCTATGAGCAAAATTTTCATTCATTACCAAAGGGAACATGTATATAAATTTGTATTGAGATGGTGTACCCTTGGCCTCTATGTATATATATGTATATACGCACACACTCATACATATACATATATGGCCCCCTATGTATAGGTATGTATATACACACACGCACACATATACGTATATGTATGTATATGTATATGTATAAAGGGAGCCAGCCATCTTGTTCATATTTCCATGATCATTCATGGCCAAGATACTCTTTGTGGAGTCACTAATTTTGAAATTTATATGAATTATGTAGTATTATGTTGAACTTAACAATTGACCGATCGTTGCCACCTCTGGTTGAATTTGGATGCCTCTTTTACCCATTGGCTTCGTGAAACGGTTGTGGCCGTACACTCCTTGATCCTTCAAAACAGTTTGGTTGTATAAACTGCTGATTTTTGTGAGTTTTGACCATTTATTCTGTGGGGCTTTATCTAGATTCCTCAATTCTTGACTTTTTTATGCTTAAGCGAGTCATGTTATGATTTGTTAAATTGAAGGAAATTGGAATTCAAAGTAGAGGAAATTTTGGATAAATATGGTTGCTTTTATGGGTCTCCTTGGGTGCTATTTAGCCTTTTCTCCATGTGTATTTCTTTTTTGGTTATTTCTTTTTCTTGTGACTATTTTTTTCATTGTTTTAAACCGTTAGTCACACCATTACACACTTACTATAATGTTTTGATGTTTATTTGTGTAATAGTTGTTATTGCAGGTCAATAGCTTATGTTAAAAGGAAGTGCTGTAGAAACACTCAAGAGAAGTCAGTTGCTTATTAATTGCAAGTTAGCCTCTTGAAATGGAGGTAAGCCCCATATGGGCGATTTCATATGAACATTGTTGTAGTTCAATCTCAGAAGAATATTTTTTTATGCTAGTATTGTATTCAATGTATTTAATTTTATAGATAATAAATTTATATCGTAATATTTAAACGTGTCGAACATTATATTTAATATGAACTTTTAGTAGTGATTCTTTTGATTTATGGGTAGGAAAACAGGGCATTGCAGGCCTTGATGAAACGAAGGATGTTTTGGAACCAGATAAAGGAAGTAAAGGGGGGCTTTATGTTCCTGGGAAAGATCGTGTCATATTTAGACCTCCTCCTGAACGAAAGTCCATTCTTGGTATGTTTGCATTCTTAAATGATTCCGCATTGGAAAGTTTGTTCTCTAAGAATGATATGTTTTCCATCCGAAACTCTTGAATAAAAGTATCCATATGGTGTGCGAGTGCACTGGTGAAATAGTCTCTGTTAAATGAGACTATCACTAGAAAATGATGGCAATAACTGATGAACAGTGGTATTTGACACTAACAGGCTTGGATGCTCTGGCCATTGCCAAAGGAGGAAGAAAGAGTGAACATGGGTTTAAAGTTCCTATGGATCGGATTGTTTCATCTATGGCATCACTAGATGCAGAAGAAAAGTCTGATTTCCAAGAATCTGAAGATGGTTCAAGTGATGTGCCTCAAAGAGAACACGAGCTTGCACATCGCCATTACCGGGAATCTTCATCTAGGGGTAAGCTATTTATTTGAGTAAATAGTGGATAGTAATGTCTTGATTACAATGGAAGCTTTGTCCAATTATTTTAAATTGCATACCAAAACATTGCACAGAAGACACTTGAGATCATCAGTTGTTTTTCAAGAATATGATATCATCTAAGGTCTGTTTTGGATCCCTAGGAAAAGATTACGTGGAAATTGCTTTCAAGGGAGATTGCTCACTTCTACTATTTGGATCCAAAATTTGGGGCGGAAATGAGAAATCGTTTTCTCAATTTTATGCCCAAAATAGAGAAGTTACTTTTGTCCCCACAAGCTACAAAATTAATTTCCCTATCAGATTTCCTTATAGAGCCAAACAAAAATAGATAAATAAATAAATACAACAAGCTTATAGCTAGTTGGGGTCTAGAGAAAAGGGCAATCTTTTCCAAATCTCTCTCCCTCTTTCTCTCAGCTCACCTCTCTTTTTCTCTCTCCTCTCTAGCTCAACTGCCGTAACCCACTCTCTCTCGAAAAATCGTTATATCTTTGTTTCTCATCTCTCTCTCTCTATCTCTCCCTATCCATAGAAATCCCTTTCTGCTTCTATCTTGCCCTAGCAATTTCCTTCTCTCTCTATCTCTACCATGTTTTCCTTGCCAGAGATTCATTGCGTTTGACCCCATTTCATGGTGGGAAGATACATTCTACAGTGCTTCCAAATGCCAAATGCCATCCAGACAACAAAAACCAATGGTCTATTGGATCATCACTGTCCATTAAAATGAGGGGGGATGATTGAGATAGAGTGGAGCTTACTAGAGCTCTGACATTTCAATGTTGGGGTCCATTGTTATTATTTCAGTGGATGGTGGTGGATCCCACACTCTCTTCATCACCAATGATTGCCCAATAGACTATGGTTTTTCCCAATTCCTATGGATTATACTTGCCTTGTTTATTTTCAGATCAAGGGAAACCCTGAGTTGGCACTTGAAAGCATTTTTGAGCCGCTTTCTCTCTCAAACTTAACCAACATAGTACTGTGTTCTTTTTCTTTACCATTATTTACCTATCAAGACAATTTGTGAAACAAGCTCCGCTTTTTGCTCTATATGAATCTACTCTTCGTAGATGTCCTAGCTTCATTTTATCTATGTATTGTTATTTATACTAGGTCTTGAATATCTTTCATAAAACAATTGGGGCTTGACATCTGTAACAATTAGAGATATCATAAGGGCCCATCCAAGACAATAATGATGAATGTAGAAAAATAGCTCTGATTCAAAATATTTATCATAGAATAAGCAGGACACCACATACAGTAGGTGCACAGAGAAGTAATCTTGCTAAATTCTGTTCAAAACCTGACATTTCTATCAAATGGAACTTTAGCTTTTGAATAAAAGCTTTGATCTTATGGATTATATTTGATAAGTGATACTAAATATTATTAATGTAGGGTTTGGATGTGATAATTTCTAGCTATGGCTTGGTAAAACTTCGCATGCATCGTCCTGTATGTTTAGTATTTGATTGGTGTAGAGTTATTGGCTTGGTGCTTTGTGAAAAAGCTAAACCTTGTCTTGTTATGCGAACACCTTGTATTCTTAAGTTTTATGAGATGCTCACATACATGTATAATTTTTCAGAGAAATTATCTTTGGAAAAAGAGAGGGAGGCTGCATCTGAAACACAGTCTTCAAGTGAACGCCATCGTACCAAAGTATGTCTATTCTTCTCCCTTTTGTTAAAGAATATTCATTATCATCATAGTTTCATTTTTTACTATCACATGCATATTTATTTTAGAGTATCTATTTCTATTGAAAAGTGACTTACTGAATTCTGAATTGGATCTTTTTATTTGTTAGTTGATGCCTGAAAGTATTAAGATCTCTCTCTCTTTTTATTTGCTTCAAGGACTGCACTCCATCGAGTGACATTTCTAGGAGCAGTCCATATAGGACTCCCAGAAGACACGGGATGGAAGGTTATGGTAGTGGAAGGAGGGAATCTGAGGCTGAGGAAAGGAGTGACAGCAAGAAGCAGAGATATGATAGTGATGGTGATAAAGACTATCGTGGAAGGGAATCACACAGGAGACATGATGGCTATGATCAGATGTATGTTGGCGAGCATGGAAGGAAAAGAAGTAGAGATGCATATTCTTCAAGATCATCTGGGGCTGAGGAAAGGAGTGACAGCAAGAAGCAGAGATATGATAGTGATGGTGATAAAGACTATCGTGGAAGGGAATCACACAGGAGACATGATGGCTATGATCAGATGTATGCTGGCGAGCATGGAAGGAAAAGAAGTAGAGATGCATATTCTTCAAGATCATCTAGTATGTTTAGTTCAAAGAATATGTTTTCTCTATACCAAATTTTATTGTTAAATAAATCATGCTGCTATATGCATCCACATGCGAAAGCAGATGTACCAGCACATCCATTATGCAAGTACATATTATTTCTATCTACATGTATGTACTGGGATTTGAAAATACGACTGAATTCTGAATATGACTCTGCATAAACTTGAGTATGTACTCCTGAAGAGCTCATTTACTTTCCTATCAGAAAAATATGCTATTTGTCAATGGATCATGGAAATCTGTAGTCCATTGGTGTCATCACATTCCAATGATATGATGGATGATTCTTTTTCCATATCATGGTTACTGATGACAAAGTGTAAATGACAATGGAGAGATTGTGAGACCCCCTTTGGGCTCATGTCCTGCTCTGAAGGGTCTCACTCTTGCTCCAGTCTATTGCTAAAGTCATCAGATGATGAACCCTCATGGACTACAAGTATACTGCAGTAGTTGTATTATAATACACTTCCCTTTCTCCTTATGGTTCCCATCATAAAGAAATTAACTGTGGCTTGCAGGCAAGTCTGATTGGGATGACGGAGGATGGGAATGGGAAGATACACCTCGTAGGGATAGCCCTCATGTGCCTAGTAGAAATCATTTGCCTGCACACTCTCCAATGCTGGCTGGGGCCTCTCCTGATGCACGATTGGTTTCACCTTGGTTGGGAGGTCATACTCCTTATACTTCAGGTATTTTGAAATTGTTGACAAATCAATTAAAATTTTATTGTTATGCATGTCTTCTTTTCCCCCCCCACTTGTCATACATAAAAGTCAACTCTAAGTATACATACACGCGCACCTAGCCTATAGGCTAGACAGTCCATATTGAATATCAGTGATATGGACAGCTGGCATTGTGTGTTAGTTTTGTTTTTTACAAATAAAATAAATAAAACAATATGCAAGAAACAGGGGAAAATAGGTGTCTGCAATTGCCAGTGAATGCTGGCTGTCTACATGCCTCCTCTGGTTCAATCAGGACCATGTAGGCTATACTATTCCATGGGCTGGCTGCTCATAAAAATTTTATCTCACACACTGAGGTTGTGCTTATCTTAAGAGCTTGAAACTGTCTCACTAACATTGTTAGGATGTCACAGTTTCTGCTTCTCCTTGGGACAGCGTTACTCCTTCTCCAGCCCCAATACATGCAAGTGGAGTTCCAACAAGGTCTTCAATGTCCCGTGGTCAAAGATCACATCAACTCAGTTTTCCGTCAGAAAAGTCCCAGCCACGTTTTGAGGTAACAATTTGCACCATTTGAAGGAAATGATAGTTTTCATTATGGCAAGTCTGCATGCATTCGGTAAGTGTTTTCTATTTCATCTCTTGAGTGCATTTAGCAATTTTTTTCCTGAGAGTACTGCTATGTTTTGATCATTCAGGATGACGGAGTTCATAAAAGATCTTTGTCCAAAGAAGAGTCTCAGGATGTCACTGAAAGGATGAGAGTAGAGATAGAAGATGCGGAGCGAGATGCTGACCGTGCCTGGTACTAACAGTCGACTAGAGCGGCTTTTATAAGATTACATTATTTTTCTCCAACTTGGAATATACCATGTGTATTATATGGATGGCATATACGTAATGCATGCTATGCTTTGCCTATATCATACTTACATAATTGCTAATGATTTGGATAAACATAAACATTGATACTAATAGTCAAAAAATCACAGTTAAATAATTGCTTATGATTTGCATAACGTTACATAGATACTAACTATGTTGTCTGTTGTGTTGAATGAGTCAATACTTGTAGATGTGCAAGGTTGATTTAAATTAGGAAAGTATGCCATGAATTCAACGAACTGCTAAAAATGGGATCTATTTTGGGTTACTGCAATTCAACGAAATGTTTTTTTTTTTTTGAATATACGATTCAATGAAATGTTGGATATTAGAGGGGGGGGGGGGAGGGAGAGAGAGAGAGAGAGAGAGAGAGGGTGGGGGTGGGGGGGTGGGGGAGGGGTACGTTACGTTTACGTTTTACGTTACGTACGTAACGTAAAGGTAAAAGGTTAAAGGTTAGTTAGTTAGTTAGTTAGTACGTACGTC